AGCTTGAGGCTGTCTCAAAAAAAAAAAAAAAAAAAAAGGACAGTAACCTCGTATAAGAACACTTGAGCTGTGGATTGGATTGCAATGAGTGCCATTATGCTTGAGGAACTTCTAAAATGAAATAAGAGGCTGGGCAGGGTGGCTCACACCTGTAATCCTAGCAGTATGGGAGCCTAAAATCCCTGAAGCTGAGGAGTTCAAGACCAACCTGAGCAAGCACAAGACCTTTCTACTAAAAAAAGGGGGGAGGGATTAGCCAGGCATTGTTTTAGGCACCTGTTTCCCAGCTACTCAGGAGGCTGAGGCAGAGGGTGGCTTTAGCCCTGGAGTTTGATACTGCTGTGAGCTGTGATGTCAGCACACTTTATTCTGGGGCAACAGAGTGAAGACTGTCTCCTAGAAAGTAAAAAAAATAAAATGAGATAAGGCTAGGTTTGAGTAGATCATTCATAGGTACTAGAAGTAGGGAGGTGTGTAAGCAAAATGCAGAAATAAAATGACAGTTTGATAAGAGGAAAGAACTGTCAGTGTAGAACTGAAACCATTGTTGGAAAATCTAGGATATGATAGGATTTAGGGATGAGAGTCCCTTAGAGAATGGGATCACCTAAGGAAGTTGATGAATTGATTGCATTTGAAGGCTTGGGCAAAGTGGTTCAAGGATTACTTCAGCTTCCTTCTGGACAGGTGAGGCAGTTGGTGCTGGGGGGATACAGTTGAAGAAAAATGCCAAGGTGGTTTGTGGTGTGGAGGTGGCGCTATGAAGTGGAATTATGTATGCCAGTCTGGGTTTCAGTGAGATGATTATGGAAACTCAAGCATCAGATAGGGCCCCATAGAAGAGAATGGGGCATAGGCCCAGTGAAGCTCTACCATTAATGTCTGAGGAAGGACTCAACAGACTGAAGAGTGTCAAGAAATTAGCAGGAATCCCTAAAGCAGGGGTGTCCAACCCACAAGGTCCCATGCAGCCCAACACAAAATCATAAATTTACTTAGAATATGAGATTTTTTTTAATTTTTTTTATTTTTTATTTATTTATTTTTTTGGTGGAACAATTGCGCGGTTCTCAAGCGTGAACTTTGTAGACGACAACGTCGTATCCCTTATCTATTATTATTTTTTTAATCCCAGCATGGCTTCTACATCTCAAAAGAAAACAGAAGCCCCCAAAAGAAAAATGACAGATGAAGCAAGTTTTTTCAATGAAAAGTGGACAGATGACTACTTTTTTATTGAGGCAAATAATAAGGCACTCTGCTTAATTTGTAGGGAATTCTTGCAAGTGTTCAAAGACTGTGATTTGAAAAGGCATTACATGCAAAAGCATGCTTCTAAATTTGATGCATATGAAGGATTGTATCGTAAAGACAAAATAGCAGAACTGAAAAAAAATCTGTCTTCTCAACAAAAGTTTTTTAAAGTTACAACTCAGACAGATTCCATCGTGAAAGCTAGTTATGTGGTAGCATATTTAATAGCAAAAAAATCAAAACCATTTACTGATGGTGAGTTTATTAAGCAGTGTATGGAAAGCATGGCAGATATAATTTGCCCTGAAAAAAAAGGAGACATTTCTAAAATCAGTTTGTCTCGCCAGACCATAGCCAGGCGAATTAAAGAAATCGGAAGATCTATCGCAAGAAGTTTGGAGAGTAAAGCTGCTAATTTTAAATTTTATGCTTTGGCAATGGATGACAGCACTGATGCTACAAATACAGCTCAGCTTGCCATTTTTATCAGAGGTATTGATGATCAGTATAATGTCACTGAAGAAATGGCTTCTTTAGTGCCATTAAAAGACAGAACTACATCAAGAGATTTATATGAAGCAGTAAAAAATATGTTAAAGCGGTTTTCTTTGTCTCTTGTCAACATATCTGGTATTGTTACTGATGGCTCCCCGGCAATGGTAGACAAAAGACAAGGACTTGTAAAATTAATAGAAGACGATGCAATTACTGCCCAAAATTCAAGTTTGATGAAGTATCATTGCATAGTACATCAAGAAAATTTATGTGCAAAAGCTTTAAAAATGGATAACGTCATGCAGATCATCATCAAAACTGTGAATTTCATAAGGGCCCAAGGATTGAATCACCACCATTTCCAGGAATTCCTTGAAAGTATTGATGCTGACTATGGCGACACCATTTACTTTTCAGAAGTAAGATGGCTAAGTCAAGGCCAAATATTGAAAAGATTTTATGATTTGCGACATGTTATTAAGTCATTCATGATATCAAAAACCAAATTTGTGCCAGAACTGGATGATAAAAATTGGCTTACAGATTTAGCATTTTTAGTGGATTTAAGCACTCATTTAAATGAGTTAAACATCTGCCTTCAAGGTGAAAACCAGCTTATCAATACACCGTTTCATGCCATAACAGTATTCCTAATGAAACTGAAGTTATGGCAAGCTGAAATTAAGGCAAACAATTTTATGCATTTTGATACGTTGGCTAAACATAGTCCTGTGAAAGGTGAAAAATATGCAGCCTTGCTTTTCAATTTGATACAAGAATTTGAAAGCAGATTTCAAGATTTCCATGAAAATAATCACTATTTTGGTGCATTTGCGACTCCATTTTCAGTTGATATAAATGCGTTGCCTGCCAGTTTCCAAATGGAATGCATAGGGCTTCAGTCTGACGTTCAACTTAAAGAAAAATTTGACCGAGTCTCTTTACTGGACTTCTATAGGTCCTGTCTTCCCAGAGACAAATATCCCTTGCTTCACAATCATGCTTTATTCATGTCGTCGCTTTTTGGCAGTACCTACATTTGCAAGCAGCTATTTTCAAGAATGAAACACATGAAGAGTAAAATTAGAACCAAAATATCTGATGAGCACCTTGAGAACTCACTGAGAATTGCAACTACTTCCATTGAACCAGATATTGATGCATTAGTTTCTCGAATACAATGTCAAATATCCCACTAATTTTAAGTTCCCTTTTTTTATAGTTAAAAATATCCCTCCAAAAAGACATTTTACTACTTAGATATGTACATTTTCTGTGTTAGTGATTACAAACTTGGGACCTGCTCGATGATGTTGAAACACTCCCCGCATAATTAGGAGTTAGGAGTATTATGAGAATTCTTTTTGCTCATCTTTGGCAACGAATATCAAGGAAATTATGCACGGACTGGTTTTGTGGTTTTTTTTTTTTGCTCATCAGCTTTTGTTAGTGTTTTGTGTATTTAATGTGTTGCCCAAGACAACTCTCCTTCCAATGTGGCCCAGAGAAGCCAAAAGGTTGGACACCCCTGCCCTAAAGAGTTACATCATAGGAGTGAAGGGGAAAGGGTTTCCAGGAAGAAATTGTTAAATCCTGCTGTGGGAACAATTAAGACAAAGGTAAGAAAGTGCTTGGTTGTCTCCTTCCTATGCAGATCCTTGGCAGTGTGGGATCCTGCCCTCATGGTGGGATGGGGTGGGGCTGGCGGAGTAGATTCTCTTTGACAAGATTTTATTGAAGGAAAAAGCCAATCAGCAAGTATCTGAATACAAAGTTGGCATGGGGAAGGGTATATATTATGTGATTGGTTAGAACTGAGCATGTTTAATTACAAGGAAGACAGTGTTTAATGGAAAGTGGAAAGAATAAAAGATTTATGTAGCGTGCGTGATGTTAGAACGAAGAGCAGAGCTGTTGAGAGTGATCTTAGCCATGACAGGCCTCTTGTTTTTAAATTCTGAGGGACCTTCAGTAGGTCCCTATTTTGCAAGTGGAAGATGCTTGAGAGTAAGAGGAGGTGGGACTACATAAGGCCACCCTGTATT